AGAGAGAGAGAGAGAGAGAGAGAGAGAGAGAGAGAGAGAGAGAGAGAGAGAGAGAGAGAGAGAGAGAGAGACAGACAGACAGACAGACATTCGTTAAACTTTTTCCCCTATGGCAGATATATCCGCTACATATTATTGTCTGTGGCGCATACATCCAATACATATTCTCGCCTGTGGCGGATAAGTCCGCTACATATTCTTTCGAAATGAGATGTCTGAGTCTGTGGCGGGTACATCCGCTACATATGTCTAGTATATATACTCGCCTGTGGCAGATACATCTGCTATATATTCTTTCAAAATGAGAACAGGACAGAGAGATGTGTTCGAGTAATGCAGAACTCAGGAACCACATACAAATGTCCCCATACACATCTGCAATGACAGACACCTCAACTGGAAACACATCTGATTGCTGGAATGTCAAAATCCGAAAAGCGAAAAGGCGGGCGAAATACCCGTGCGAGAAAGGAAGCGAACATCAACATGAATATCCCACAAAGCGACCCATCAACCTCGCAAATAAAGTGACACCTAATATCTGAAGAAGAGCAATATACAAGAATTCTCAAATAGCACAAGGGATTTCTGATCCTATAGGCCGGATACATCCGCTACACAATCCCAACCTGGAGAACTGGCCACAAGTACTCAAGCTTGTCTCTGATCCTATAGGCCGGATACATCCGCTACACAATCCCAACCTGGAGAACTGGCCACACGTACCTAAACTTGTCGTAAACTTTCAAGGCTACTTTTGAAGGAATTCTCAAATAGCACAAGGGATTTATGATCCTATAGGCCGAATACATCCGCTGCACAATCCCGACCCGGAGAACTCACAACACATACTCAAACTTGTCGTACAGAACATATGATCGATGCCATTTTGGATCTGATTGTTGGAATGTCAAAATTCGAAAAGCGGAAAGACGGGCGCAAACCCCTCGCAAGAAAGGAAGCGAACATCAACATGAACACCCTACAACTTGAGCCATCACCCTGCCTAGGCACTCCCTTAACGAGCACTTCAAATCTCATGTTATTGTACCTTTTGGGCAACCCTCGCATGGTTGCCTCTTTATTCAGATAGTCCACAACCGCCTTAAATGCACTAGAAGCGAATGACGCGTCATAGACCGGGTTATAAAACGAATCGACGAAGTTTACAACGTGCTTTCTGAAATCTACTGAAAGAATGACCTAGTGTTTGCAATCCTTGTGAATGGGGATGAGCAATATATCGTATTCGAAAAGAAGGACATTTTGCGTCCACCTGCTGACCCTTCTAAAACCTTGCGACTGCAACTTCGTAAAAAAAAAGGAAAGGAAGTTATATACTTTGAACGAAGATCGACGACAGTCCCTAGTGAGGAGAGCTAAGTAAAAATTCACGACCTCATCGTTAAGCTCGCCGCCTCTATCCAATAATGTTACCATGTCTTTTACCCTAACCACCAAATTGTCGATCGGGAGCCGAGCAATAACCATCACCGACGATAGGCAACACCGAACAAGTTTGTCCATCAACTTGGACGACTCTTCCTGATTTTCTCCAACGCATGACATGCATACGTCTGCAAAACAGTCCAACCAAGCAACACGCATGAGCATGAGAAAGAATGACACAATAACTGTCCGAGCCGTTCGGTTCTTTGCTTTGCGCTTTAAAATTATTATAAATTTGAACCCCTCTACGTGTACTCCTAGAAAAGTATGACGCGGGTCCAAAAGGCGGAGAAATGGCGCATTTCTTGCAAACTTTGATGTGCAGCTTCGCAAATATGTCAAAACTCATACCCGCCGCTTCTACAATCCGAAAACTCCTTCTCGACAATCGCGGCATATTCGTCTTTGTGAGAGACTCTTCCGAGTTTCTCCGCACGGCACATGAAGGAGATGGCCGACCTGTACAACAAGTAAAGAAAAGGAGATTATGAATATAACATATCGCCGCATTGCACAACCAACGGGCAACCAGCAATTACCCACATATCCAAACATATCGCCGCTCGCTACATCGAAAAGTAAACTCCAGAATCTCATACAGTAGTGGGACCCAAACACTCATGTCAGTGAGTTAACTCCAAGTGCTCATATACTACGTAGAACCAAATGTGAGCAACACATGTCACTGCTTATCCGCCATGGCTTCGTGCCTGAGATGTTCCTTAGTATTCTTCTCGTCTAAAACTTTCGGTTGTGGCAAGTCTTTTCTCAAACATGTCGCGCTTAGACCCAATACGAACTCTTCAGTCTGCGCCGATGCCATAATGCGATCTAACTGGGATGGAAGTCGGGACAAGTCCTTAATGTCCGCGTTGATGAGGAAAACAACTTTTTCCGGAGCATCGGGGCACAACTCTACAGAACGACCAGCTGTCCCACCACTCCCACAGATGGCAAAAACTTCATCTTGAGGAGTCAATAATTGTGAAGAAGGAGAGATGACAACAGGGCAATCGTGGAAGAGTGTCTTGACAAGATCATCTTCGATCGGACGAGGGACAAACAACTCTTCCACTTCGAGCATGGTGACGTCCTCGTCCTCATTGCAGTCGTCCGACACGACTGTGGCCATATGGATTTTGGAGGGCCGTATGTCAGGAAACCCTGAACATAACTGCGAGACATACCCGCCATGGGAACCGCCACAACGTGTATCAGGTGGTGGAGTCACCTGGTCTTCCACACCCACGGCAAGGGTGTTATCCGTGCTACRTGGCTGCTCCGCCGAGGAGCGGATAGATCCGCCACCGGTGGAAACCGGTCTGACAACTAACTCCTCCTTCTGCTCTGCACTGACACGAAGCCCTGGACGGCGGATACATCCGGCGCCGGCTAAAGAACCGCCATCACGCAGCCCGCGCCCCTTGTATGACCCGCGTGCATGTTCCTCTGGTGCATTTGTCAGAGGGACATGCCTGCCCTCGGAACCACCGTAATGTGTGTCAAAGGGTGTAGTCTCCTCGTCTTCTATACCCAGGGCAAGGGTGTCGTCGGTGCTGCCGAGTTGATTCGTCGAGGAGCGGATATATCCGCCACCGACCGAAATGCTTCTGACAACTAAGTCCTCATTCTGCTCCACACTGACGCGCCCGCTTGGATGGCGGATACATCCGGGGCCGACAGAAAAAAGGCCAACCCGCCCCTTATCCACCTCAGACCCAGTTGCACAAGGACTCGCAAGAGAATCTGTCCTTCTGGGGGAGTATGACCCGCCTACAGTTTTCTCCACCACATTCTCTCCGCAAAGGAAAGTGGCATCCGTAACAACTTCGCACTTCTGAGTGTCGCGTCTTGGATCCTTGGTGGAAGCCACATCGACCGACTCCGCATCTGCCATGAAATTCGATCCGGCAGAAACTGTACCGCAGATACATCCGCTGCCGGGAAATGAGCGATTTCCTTGCCCAACGACTTCAGCACCGAGCGGATACATTGTCGGCGGTGGAGATTCAACCTGCGGTGATCCCTGCCCAGTTTGTGAGCTCGCACCTTCTACTGAAGCCATGGCACCTATTCCGCCATCGGTCGTGACTGTGCCGCGGATACATCCGCTGCCGGGAAATAAGCCATGTACTTGCCCAACGAGTTGAGCAGCTTGCAGCGCATAGGTCGGCAGTGGAGATTCAACCTGCGGTGATCCCTGCCTAGTTTGTGAGCTCGCACCTTCTACCGAAGCCATAGCACCCTTTCCGCCTGCGATCGTGACCCCTCCCGGGCTCGTAACATTTCCGCGTCGTGCGCCGCCCCCTCTGTTGTCACCCGTAACCGCCGCCGCGGGTCCCCCGTAACCGCCGCCGTGGGTTCTATCCTCACCTCCTCCGTCCCCTCCTTCGTCATCTCCTCTACCGCCGCCCCGTCTAGCTCCATCTCCTCGTGTTGGGGCAGGCGGTGGAATATGCCAGTCAATTTTGCTTTCATAACTTGCACTTGTTTCGAGGTAATAAAAGTCACGACAGAGCTCCAACATGCTGTGCTCAAGAGAAATCTCGAATGTCTGCTCTCCGAACATTCTGACGACAAGGTCGTCTGGTTGGCGGCAGTTTACCTCTGCGACATGGTCGATAACCGTTTGGAGGGCGGCCTCTTCAAATACGTTTTTGGACAAACGGGGTTCTGGTTTTCATTCCCCCTTATCATTGAACGCCATAACCCATTCGCCATCAAGAACTGCCGGTTGGAAAATGTATGGATGCCAAATTACATGGTGACCCCAATCGGACTCGTCGGTACTCCTGTGCGTCGTCCCGAAGAAATAGAGTTGACCTTTCTGCAACCCCAATGTGTGCGTCGACGGAAGAGGACGTCCAGGCTTGACAGTGGGGCTCAGAGGTTTGCTTCTCATGGAGGAAAGAAATCCTCTTGAAGAACCCGAGGTTGGCGTTGCGACAGGAATGGCGAAAGGAGTGACGACATGCGAACTCACAGCATGCTTGGAACTGGAAGGCGTTGAAGAGGACGCCATACCTGCAGTATATTTCTGATATACCGTCTCTAAATCCAAAGGCTCCTCACATTCGCTGACTTCTTCCTCGTCGTTTGCGTTGAAATTGTCCTCTTCGGTGAACTGAGCCTTGTAATAATTTAATGTGAGTTCCACCTTGCCATTGTCGAAATAGAAGTCCTCGAGTTTCTCCACGAAGTTGGCCACAGCCTCCCTAGAAGCACCGTGAAAGCCATCCAATGCACCAATCACGTCCTCGAATCTTTGTTTCGGTCTTGTGTCGAGGAACAAAAACTTGTATACATTCGCCATTTTTCTCAGCTGACAGCTTGAACCACATGTTCCTGTGTAGATCATGGTCGACCTCTTTCTGCACCTGGTAGAATTCACAGTTGTCCACACCCGTGTGCACCTCGTGCGCAACAAATGTCATCAAGAAGTTGAGGAGCTCAGTGTCTCCCTCGATGGCCACAACATGGCGCCCGCTCTTGAGGAGATGCCACACAACCTGGGCGTGTGCTTTGCCGATGAACATAACTGCATTCTCGACTGGGCAGAAAAACTCTATGTGACCCTATAACGTACCCGGGTTGCGCTCCATTTCCTTATAGACGAACCCCTTCAGGTGGTGCACACCTACCGATGCATACGTCGTGGTCGTGAACTGTGTTTCGGCAATGTCCGAGGGTGTCACCTTTTGCCTTTTCCCAAGAGCTGCAGCGTCATCGTCCGACAATCGTCCCTCATATGTCGGCGGGGTGTTAAGGTTCAGATCATCCCCGTGGAAAAAAACATACATCTTGTCCTCGTCGGCCCACACACTGTTCCCGATTTGGTAGTGCTTCTTAACTTGACTCCTCCGAACCCATTTTCCTGCACAACCATTCGTGACAGGAAGAATGTGGAGAAGACCCATGAAGGAAAGGTCCCACTGCCTGGGAACAAAAGCAATTAAAGTCCAGAAATCAGGACACACAACTTCAAGGAATGCCGCCAATGATCGGAAAGCCTCGTCATTCCAACGTGCTCGGTCGACGGGATCGCAGAAGTCAATGATGCAAGTGTGGCATCGCAGCTGCGTCACAACTTTCCTCATCTCATCTTTTCTTAGAAAAGTCGTGAAGGCGTCGTAAGCAAATGGTGCGAGGGTTGTCACTTGATTGGTTTCCTTCCATTTGATGGTGGTGCATTCTCCCAGTGCTTGCGGCCCCTCTTCTATCTTGCCACGTTCGCCTTTGAGCACGGACAGTACAACCCGCTTCCATTCAGTAGGAAACTTCTCGTGATTAACCAACTTTATCGTTGCTGCCACGTCCTTATCACTCGGACAGCCGAGATACTGGGGGCATTCCTTGAGGTACGAGTGATCTGTGACCCATTTTTTGCAGCCCGCCCACAGTTTCTCGTCCAGTCCCTTGGAGGCGTACTCTGCCATCAATTGCTCCTTCGTCCGGAAAAAGGAGGCATTCCAATCATCGTTGTCGCGGCCCTCGTGCTGGAATTGCACAATATGCCACAGCCGGAGCAACATCCGATCTTGCTTGACCATTTCACAAGCATCTTTCATCTGAACCTTTCCGTGCTCAATCAACTTCTTGCTTCCTTGCTGCACCCAGACAATATCCAGGTCCAGCAACCCTCGCAAGATCCGACGTTTCTCCGCGTCTGTAAAATCCCCCAAGTCTTTCCAACAATGCACGTCGGGTTCATTCACCTGGACGAAAAAGTTGGGGTCCTCCTGTTTCCTTTTCTTCTTGCCTTTCCGCATCTCCGGATCAGTCACACGCACATTATACACAACTCTCTTATGACCGCTGTTGTCCTCCGCAAATGACTGACCCTCACGGGTGACTTTCGGGTCCGTTGTTGGAGGCCTCTTCGTCCACACAACGCCATCAGGGGCGAGCAGATGACCCTTTTCCCACTCGTCGTAGAATTTCATGCCAAGCAATGGCAAGCATCCACGTTTCATCGTCCGTCATCACCAGAGGTAAGTAGTACCTCAGTCTCTTCGTCCATTCCTTTTTCTTCGATTTCTCATCAGCCAACCCCCAAAGGTTGAAGTAAGGCGTTTTCCTTAAGGCGACTTTCTGAAACTCTTCATATTTACTAACCAAATCCCTCTTGAAATTTATATTGCCGGTGACAGCACGAGGACGCTTCAAGTTATTCTAGTCCTAACGAATGTCTATCATTGACAGCCGCTGATCCCGAGGAGGGGCTGACTTGTCCTTCCTATTCTCGTTCACGCTTATCTGCGTATAACCGTCAAAGTCCTCGTCGGCGAAGTACAAAGGCTTGAAGGGCCAGTCGTAAAAGGTATGCTTCTCCCAAATCTCGTGGTTTCTCAACTCCAGCGCAGCCTTGACATTGTGTTGCCCGCTGACAGCGTCGTACCAGTGTTCGTTCGGGTTCTCCACATTGAATTTGTCCGGGGTCACACGAACAACCTTCCGTCCTGGGCTAGGAAGCCCTGCAATTGGCGTCAATTTTAAAATTGGCTTCTCGTACGTCTTTCCTTTCTTCTTGAAGGCATCCATCATAGACTGCAATATATATGCCGTGCGCGTTGGGTCGATCAAACGATGATTGTATGGCCTTTCCCACGCCGGCAACTCCAATACCCTCTCCGGGTTGATAGGAAGAGTGACATCTTTCTTTATACCCTCTTTCCATTCCAGAAAGTACCCGACGTCCAGATCGACAACCTTTTCCTTGTCGTCCTCACTGTCATTTTCATCTGCTCATGCCCGCTTGCCTTTCGATGACCCTTCCCCCGATCCACCTCCCCGTTTCGCCTTCGGTGTTTCCGGGTTCTTTCCCGCCGATTTCCTCTTCTTGTCAGATGTCTGGCGAGGGGTACTTGTTCTCCTTTTCTTCTGTTAAGATAAACGAGGGGTGTCTTCGTCTCCAGCCCCCTCGCTGCCAGATTCTTCTCCACTTCTCTTTTCTCCCACCGCAACAGGTCTTTTACCCGTCTCCCCACCCCTTTGCTGCTCCGCAACCACATCCAACAATAGTACTAACTCCAGTCGTCTTCGCCCTAGTCGACGGCTCATCCATAGCACTTACTGGAGCCTCAGCCATGTCGGCGACCGCCCCCTCCTGGGGCGACGGCTCATTTATAGCACTTACTGGAGCTCGAGCCACCTCGACGACCGTCCCCTCCGTATATCTGCGTTCGACAGCTTCACCTTCCGGCTCGGATTCTTCATAAGCACTTGAGGGGTCTTGCTGCTCAGGAACGTAGTTAGGGTCAAGCCCTCCAGTCGCACCCTCCGTAGCAACATCAGTCGACAATTCTGAAGTTCGAGTGCGGTCCTCGTCATCGCCATCATACGCTATCGGCATCGAAATACGATGCTCCTGCGGCACATCTAAGCACCTGGCTGGCGGCACCAATCAATCCCAGTCATCGAAGAAGCTCCGCAAGAGAACAGACGGTTCTAAATTTGATGTTATTGCCGTGTAAAACGGAAGCATGGTGGCTTGCTTGCTGAAACCTCGAAACTTTTTTCAAGCCAATCTGACACCCTGGGCGTCATCATCAGGATGACCGTTCTTCCCGTACGCCGTCTGAAGGGTGAATGTACGAATTCCCTCTGAACAATCTTCCCATCCGCTCACAGCCCCGACGACTCGAAAATTATTACGGTCTTTCACGAAGATTACTACACCGCAAGGTGGACTCATCAGCGCCGACTCGTCAGCAGAAACCCAATCAAGAAACCAGTGGCGGTTGTCATACTTGTAGTACAAAGGATTTCTCTTCGTCCCGCCGTTGTGCCTGCCACCAGAAGGACCGCGCCGACCGCGCTCCGCTACTGGACCACCGATAAAAGTCGAGGCAGGCCCACCACGATTTGCACTGGACTCGGACAACTCTCCCTCGACAGCCGTTCCTGCAAAGTCATCTCGTTTGCCAGCACCAGCGGATGCCATTTTATCTGCATTTGCCAAGCACAAAGAAGAACACGCTATTCAGCATGATAGTAAGCAGAACGACGTTGATTCGTCCTCAGCGTGTGAAGGGCACGATCATCATCATCGAAGGCGGATATATCCGCTGTCGAAGATAGTCCATGCAGCGGATACATCCGGTGTTCAGCTTTAGCATCGTAAAAGTCATGTGGCTACCTTCACACGCGGACGACAAGGGCAGAATCCTCATCCTCAGCGGCGGATGAACATTGGATGTATCCGCTTCATGGACTATGACCTCATCCTCAGCGGCGGATGAACAACGGATGTATCCGCTGCATGGACAACGACCTCGAAGTCGTGCTGCTTCTACAGCGGATACATTCGCCGCTGAGGATAACGGATTCATCTGCCGCGGCCCGTCGAACACATCCTCAGCGGCGGATGTATCCGCTGTAGAAGCAGCACGACTTCGAGGTCGTAGTCCATGCAGCGGATACATCCGGTGTTCATTCGCCGCTGAGGATGAGGTCGTAGTCCATGCAGCGGATACATCCGGTGTTTATCCGCCGCATAGGATGAGGTCGTAGTCCATACAGCGGATACATCCGGTGTTCATCCGCCGCCGAGAATGCGGACTCTGCCCTTGTTGTGCGCTTGTGAAGGTAGCCACATAACTTTTACGGTGCTAAAGCTGAACACCGGATGTATCCGCTGCATGGACTACGACCTCAAAGTCGTGCTGCTTCTACAACGAATACATCTGCCACTGAGGATGTATTCGACGTGCAGCGGATACATCCGCCGCTGAGGATGGGGACTCTGCCGTTGTCGAGCGCACAACACTAGCACACTCATTTTGAGCAATGCCTAAGTCGTGTTGCTTCCTCCAATAGCGGATACATCCGCCGCTGAGGACCAGGTCAGGACAAGGTCGTGGTCCCCAGCGGCGGTGTGCGTGTGTTAAGGGCACGGTCATCATTCTCAAATAGCGGATACATCCGCACTACGTTCGACGGCCTCAATAGCGGATACAACCTCAGCGACGGCCTCGATAGCGGATACATCCGCCGCTCAGGATCATGATCCATGCGGCGGACACATCCGTACCACAAATGAGGATGGAGAGCTCGAAATTTCATGTGCTATTTTGGTTGGGTAAGTCGTGATGCTTTCTACTCTAGCGCATACATCCGCCGCTGCGGATCAAGACCCTGCCCTGACGAGCGCTCTGTTCTTCGAGGTCGTCGTCAATTACGCGGATTCGGTGTCCACGCATGTGTGGCGGATATATCCGTCGCAACTACTGAGCGGAAACATACGTTTTTGTGTGGCGGATATATCCGATGTACACCAAGCGGGCGAAGACCTCCTGGAGGAAATGTCGGAGTACAAAACAGAGAACCAACATGCTCAGTTACTCGGTGGCAGATATATCCGCCACACAGACGTGGACATCAAGCGCGGGTGTTAAACTTGATGGCGGACATGACATTCGACGTCCTTGTCTGTGCGTCGGATATATCTGCCATACAGCAAGCGGATGGAAACCTTGAACAGTATGAACCCGCATATATAACACAGGAACCACACCATGCGCAATTAATACCACGTAACATCACAAAATTGTGTGTTGTTTCTGCGACACAGAGAAAGTTGTTTCCAGCTGGCAACCGACACTCTGCGCCCTCCGCCGTTGGGTGAGGGCGGATCTTTCCCGGGCAACAGTTGACTACGGGGCTGATGTGTTCGGCGTGGAGCGGATGTATCCGCCGCATGGACGATGACCTCGAACTCCTGTGCGCCTGTTGGAGGCACGGTCTTCATCCTCGGCGGCGGATGTATCCGCTATCGAGACCGTCATCCTCGGGATGGAAACCAACATTTTGCGCCTTCAGTGTCCTCGCATGTGTGGCGGGTATATCCGCCGCAGCAACTGAGCGGGAACGTAGTGGAGAAAACACTCCGTCTCGAAACATCATTGGCCAGGATCGATGTGCATGTTTGTGTGGCGGATATATCCGCTGCACACCGAGCGGGTGGATACCTCGTAGAGGAGATGTCGGAGTACAAACCAGAGAAACAACACCCGCGCTTGGTGTCCACGTCTGTGTGGCGGATATATCCGCCACGCCACAGAGCATGTTTGTAATCCCACATCTCCTCTTAGACGTCTCTGCCCCCTTGGTGTACAACAGATATATCCGTCACACAAACAAGCACGCCGATCCTCGACTGTGTGGCGGATGTACCCACCATATGGTAAGGGCGGATGTTTCCTGAGCAAGAGCTGACCTGAATTCTTTCCGTCGTGGGCTGTGTGGCGGATGTACCCGCCATAGGGTAAGGGCGGATGTTTCCCGAGCAAGAGCTAACCTCAAACCAGGCTTTGTACTCCGACATCTCCTCTTAGAGGTCTCCGCCCCCTTGGTGTACAACGGATATATCCGCCACACAAACAAGTACGTCGATCCTCGGTTGTGTCTCGAAACATCAATAGCCAGGATCGACGTGCGTGTTTGTGTGGCGGATATATCCGCTGCACACCGAGCGGGCGGATGTCGGAGTACAAACCAAAGAAACAACACCCGCGCTTGGTGTCCACATCTGTGTGGCGTATATATCCGCCACAAAGCATGTTTGTACTCCGACATCTCCTCTTAGAGGTCTTTGCCCTCTCGGTGTACAACGGATATATCCGCCACACAAACAAGCACGTCGATCCTCGCCTGTGTGGCGGATGTACCCGCCATAGGGTAAGGGCGGATGTTTCCCGAGCAATAGCTGACCTGAATTCTTTCCGTCATGGGCTGTGTGGCGGATGTACCCGCCATAGGGTAAGGGCGGATGTTTCCCGAGCAAGAGTTAACCTCAAACCAGAGAAACAACACCCGCGCTTGGTATCCACGTCTGTGTGGCGGATATATCCGCCACAGAGCATGTTTGTACTCCGACAACTCCTCTTAGAGGTCTCCACCCCCTTGATGTACAGCGGATATATCCACCACACAAACAAGTACTTCGATCCTCGGCTGTGTGGCGGATGTACCCGCCATAGGGTAAGGGCGGATGTTTTCCGAGCAAGAGCTGACCTAAATTCTTTTTGTCGTGGGTTGTGTGGCGGATGTACCCGCCATAGGGTAAGGGCGGATGTTTCCCGAGCAAGAGCTAACCTAAATTCTTTCCGTCGTGATTAGGATGAGGAACAAAACACGCCTCTCGTTTTCGTTCCTCATCCTAATCACAGGGATGTTTCAGTGATGAACAAGAGATGTCTGGATGCACAACAAGAGAGATGTCATCATGCACAACAAAAGGGGTTCGATACACAACAAGAGGGGGTTCGATGCACAACGAGAGCGATAGCACCTGTCCCGTTCACTACTATTCGCTACTTTCTCTCTCTCACACACACACACACACATCACGACGGAAAGAATTTAGGTCAGCTCTTGCTGACTATCTCATCCGAGCTCATGCAGAGAGAGAGAGAGAGAGAGAGAGAGAGAGAGAGAGAGAGAGAGAGAGAGAGAGA